ATTCTGACATTATTTTTGAGGATTATGCTCTCTATATCAAGGTGTTGACACTTATTTCAAAATTGTTACTCTATAAAGCTCTTAGAGCCATACTTATAACTTATTTCAGATTATTAGATAGTTGTTTTATGAGCTATAAGAATAGGCTGTCACTTCTTTAATGCTGTATGAACATATCATCTTTATCTGCCACTGAATTCTAAATTTGAAATTTCCTGAAGGAAATGGTTAGGATGGCTCATAACAAATGTAGATCCTTCTCTGAAACGTCTTGTGGTATCAATCTGTGCATGTTCCCAATTCTCATTTAATTAATAGAAGGTGTGAAATTAGAAAATTCCAGAGTATATTAGTGACACTGACTATTCCTCATTGTCATTTTGCATCAGACATCTAAGAGTTATTATTTTATCATCTCCAAGAAAACACCTAAAGGTGGCTGTGCAGCCTCTTCTGTAACTGATTGCAGATATGTGAATCATTTTTCAAGAAAGGAGAATTATTCTTATAAACCTTGTACTACTATGCTTTGTAAAAATATTTAAACATTACCCCTCCAAAGAAAGTAAAATTTAGGAAGGCATAATGAATTTCTGTACCCTGGGAAAATTTTATTGATTGATTGATTGATTGATTTAGTTTTTTGTTTTGTTTTGTTTTGTTTTGTTTTAGTGGCAAGAAAAAGTTCACATGTCTGAGGCTTGGGAAAATACAATTCTAGTCATGTGGTATCTTGTTTAAGAAAATAATAATGACTCAGTTGTGGTGTGCTGTCAGAGCCTGCATTTCCAACTACTCAGGAGAATGAGGCAGGAGTGTGGCAGGTTCAAGGCCAGCCTGGGCAACTTAGTGAAATCCTATCTCAAAATTTTAAACAAAATAAAGTAAAAATAGAAAGAGTTTGGATACAGCTTAGAAATCCCTAATTTAATCCCTTCTACTGAAATAATACTACTAACAATAAGAAGAATAATTATTGTCATGATAATAATTATAAATTGGATCTATAAATAAAAGTATCTATATTAAAATTATAACAAATTTTCCATAAGAATCTCAGAATCCTTATAAAAGGTGTTCCTATCTTTGATATATAACTATTGCATGATAATAGATTGTAGTTTTTAGTATTTTATTTTCTCTACATGTTACTTGTACTTCATGGAATGTATTTTATTTCACAAAGAATATCCATTTTTTATTATTTAGAGAATACTTTATTAGTTTCTGTAATCAAACCCACGTAGATAAGACCTTACATATTTAATATAGTGTGTTACCCCTGTACAAATGGAAAAAAAATTAACACTTCTAGAACAATATGGCTGTTAATTTCTGTACAATGCCAACTCAACACAGTAAACTGGGATAACTTTTTCCAAAGTTGACAGCACAAAGTTTCCAAAAATTCAAGTTATATATATATTTTTTATATAAAAAGACCAATAATAACAGCATGTTATGCATCAATAGCACCAACAGCTTTTCCAGGTTCTGCAGTCATCTGAATAAAATTATAGACATCCAGCACACTCCATTAAAATAACAAAAACAAAAAAAACAAAGAAAAGAATAATACCCAGAAAATGGCAAAGTTCTATTACTGTTGTGGTACCTGGCACCATTTTTTTTATTAGCATCTTAATCATCATCTGGAAAGAAAGCATTCTAGAATAACATCATTAAAAACAGCTCTGATAAAGCACGGTCACTACTTTAACAGTTTAAAATTATGTTTGTAGAAAAGAATGCATGAAAGCATTCTATATTTAGTGTGTGATAGATTATAAACAGCGTCTGAATTACTTTCTAAAGGCTAAGACAAAATACCTATTGCACACACACAACTGTGAGGAGGAGAGGTTTATTTGGGGTCACAGTCTGTAGAGGTTTCATCCCATAGTTGGCAGGTGTCATGGCAGAGAAGAAACAGCTCATATCATGGCAGCAGGAAGCTGAGAAAAGGATCAGGGGAGGAGGCGGGAGATAAACACATCCAAGCCATGCTCTCAGTGACCCACTTTCTCCGAGCAGGCTTCACCTCCCAATCATTTAGCTATAAACACATCGATGGACTAATCATTGATTAGTATCACAATCGTGATCCAAGCCCTCTTATGGGTAGGAATCTTTGGATGAACATCTCGGTATGGAATATGGCACACAGCCATGCTGTTGACTCTGGAGATTCAACAGAGTCTACAGAATTTCTTTGGATTTTTGTTTATTTATCTGTGCAATGAATTACCTGTAAACTCCAGAGACAGGAAACAACTAACAATATCATTTTGTGATATTAGTATTTATAATGCTTTCAAACAACATGATATTTTGGAAAATTTATTTCTCCTCTTCTATTTTCCACAGAGTACTTTGACTTTTAGTTTATCCCTCTCTTCTTTCGCTTGCATACTGAACATTTTCATCATTCTCTATTTTACTATAGGGTTTGTGTGACAGCGAGCATCCTTATTCATTCTCCTGCCTTGTCTCACTTTAAAAAGCATTCTAAACTTATGTGATACTGCTCTTCAAACTCAAATCCACCCATACTTTGTGAAATAGGACATGATAAGGTCAGATCCTCCACATTACTGTCTTCTTCCTCAGAGTGCCTAAGGGAAGGGTTGTCCTGTCAACCCTGAAAATTGTCACAAAGTATTGTCTCCACCAAGTTAGGAGCCAATGAGTGAACTCCATTAGAGTAAACTAAGCAAGAATTATTGCCGCTTTTCTCCATGAAGAGACTGGCAAATATTGACTTAGAAGGTTAGAAAAAAATATGGACACGGCTCCAATGGCTCAGATAAATTTTCTTACTTGCTAACCCTATATGACTCTGAAGTTACTGATGGGGAAAAACATAGAAGATAAATAAAAATAAAGGCTGGGGGCATATAAAACTGTTGAGTCTTTTTCATTATCAGACTAATAGACCTGAGTGATGGAATCCAAACATCGTAACACTGAAACCATTGATTTCTTTAACCATAACATGTGGTATTTCCAGTATCTTGAAATATGATAAGATTACTTGAAAAATAAATACTATGTGTAAATTGCAGCAAAAAAAAAAAACCGGCTGAAATAGAATGACACTTCTGAATAGTACACAAAATAAAAAATGTCTATATTAATGTAAAAACTTTTAGGGAGCACGTTCAATTAAAGAAATTATGTAGAGTTCTTTCACAATAAAACAAGAACAGTACCGTTGAACATAACTGATTTTTTCTGGGTAGAGAGAATATCCACATGGAAATGTAGAAATATATTTTCTATGTGGAAACCTCTCAGTGATCTGTAATTTGTAGGAATCTCTTTTTATCAGGATCAACTGGAATAGTTGACTTTTGCATGGATATGAAGTGTGGATAAAAGAATTTCAAAGCTAGCTATCATTTGTTGCTGTGAATGCATCAGTGGTGTACAGACATAGCGTTCACATAATACAACTTATCCCTTTATATTTTATGATTTTGATGAAGTGAAATAAACTATTTTTACAATTTTAATGAACATATGAAAATGTTTATTTCAGTGAGAAATCTATGAAACAAATATTCAGGAAGGGAGTGGAAATGCAAATAATTTAAGTTCTTCTGAGCCACAGAAATTGCTCTCAGCTGTCATTGTGTAGCCACACCCCTATCGATAAAAAGCAAAAAATACACTAGGGTGCTTCAGCGTGGAAGCTGAGGGTTGAGGAGAAGCGGGAGGTGGCCTTGCTTTCTGCTCCCTGGTTGTATGGACCATGGCTCACAGTGATTATATCAAACCAACCCAGATGATAAAGTGTACTGAAAAGCTGCACCCTGTGAGCCCCTAACAGAGAAAGGCAGGGGCCAATGGACAAATGTGAATGGATGATACGTGAGCACACACGTATATACACCGGGGCCAGCCCCTGATTGGTCCGACGAAGAGCTCCTCAAATGATTTCGGATTTAAAATCACCTAAAGTGAATAGTGAAACCATCAAGGAGAATGACAACCTAGAAGGAACTTTAATTTAAATGAGAAAATCCAGCTTTGAGACCAGGCTTGTCATACATAAGTTTAATAACTATGGAGAATCACATAGTCATGAGGATCCTTAGAATTACGTTCTCCAAACATGTGGCTAAATATTTCACATCAGAAAATATTTAAATATATGTTTCCTTATACCTGAAAGGAGTGAACTCTTGAATTAGACTCATCAATCTCTAAGATCTTTCTATTAACTATCATTTTGTGATCAGGAAGATTTTATTTTGCTATTTTCCAGTTGTATAATTGCTACTACCCTGTATTTTTGTCAGGTAGGTGGTTTAAATGGGAAAATATCAAACTCTCTGAAATGATTGATTACAAAGCTTATATAATAATACTATTTGTTTTTCCAAATAAAGGGGGGAAATCCATAATCGATAAGTCTCATAGCAGTCACATATTTTAGCTAAATCTATTACCTTTAGGCTTAGGAGTTGAGGAGAGACGTTAACAAATGATTTTTAGACTTGCTACAGGTTTAGTCAAAGCATATTCAAATCTGCCATTTATGAATTGTGCAGTTTTGGTGAAGTTTTCAATTGTTATAAACTTCTATCTTCAGCTAAAAAATTTTAGAGAAGAATAGCACCTGCCTCACAAATTTGCTAGAGGTAAATTAGATAATGTTTAGAGCATTTAGCATAAATGCAGCACAATGCTGGAGGAATATTAATTTTTAACATTATATATCTATTAATAGATGGTTATTTTCCATCAAAATAATCACAGGAGTCGGAGGAAGGGACACTTATTTTATGATTACACGAGCATTTGCTCCTACACAGTCATCTTGTAGCTTTGCTTAAAAGGTTGAAGAGGGTGACAGTGAAACAATAAAAATAATGTGACACATTGCAATCTAATTTTTGATAGTAGGTATTTTGAGTGCCTTCCCTGTTTTTAAGGTGGTGCTTTTTACTTTTCAAGCCTGCCACATAACTGACCATGCTGCATTTTTCTTTCAGTGACTGTTGGCCCTACTAAGCCTGAGAAAGACAGTGCTTCTGGGAGAGAGGGCAAGTCAGATCTCCAGGAAGTGGTCTCCCTGAAGGAGCGGATGGCGCGGTACCAAGCAGCTGTTTCCAGGGGCGACTGCCATAGCTTCTCAGCTAATGTAAGCTGCTCCTGATACTTATCTTTAGCCAACGTGCTTGCTATCTGTCAGAACAGTCTACTCTCTTTTGCAAGGAAAGAATAATGCTAAGCAGTGGGATAAAATCCAAAGAGGATAAAAACATCGTGAATCAAATTTGGACCTCTGAATTTAACTACCAGTTGTACTATTGATTATATGAACTCAAACTACTATTCTAGCCTCTCTCTAAGGCTCTGTTTCATTAACTGAAAGGGGGGAGTAACCACCTACCACATAGGGTCTTGATGAGGAATCAAGGAGGTAATTTATGATTAAACTGAAAGGCACTGCATAAATATGTTATTATTGTCATCATTATCACTTAACCTATAGCTGTTCTCTTCAGGAAAGTTGGGAATTAATTTCAAATTTTAATAATGTGAGTTTGCATGCTGCCCTCCTTGGTCTCATGTATGGTTCATTTAAAATTCTCTGGCAGTGTAATTTCTTTTACTTTTTTCTGAACGTACTAACCCCATTAGGAGAGGCTTAATCAACATAGAAATGAGAGAGATTAGCTATGTAGGCACTCTGCTAAACCAATTATGATTACAGGAAAAGACAGGATTCAGTAAGACCACCAATTTTTAGAGCCAACCATAATAAAGTCACATTCAAAATAATTTGCTGGATTCTGGATTCTGTACCCTTCAGCTTGATGGAATACAAGAATATTCTTTTATAGCTATATTTTCAAATTAGCCAAATTGTAACTGTGTGTGTTTGTGTGTGTGTGAGAAAGAGAGAGAGCAAGAGAGAGAGAGAGAGCCCAAGATGTAGTATTTCAAAATAGCTACTCAACATTCTTTACAAATTATTTAGAGACAAGGCTGTCTGTTCCAAACTCATTAACAATACTGCAATTCTAGATGACATTTAAGTTCTTACATAGTCATTAAAATACATTGTAGACACACCACTGATTTAGAATGAATATACAGAAGTGACAAATAATTTACAAAACAGATAATACCACAATGCCTCCTGTCAAACTTCTTAGAGAGCACCCCCTGCTGGATTGTCCAGGAACTTCATTGCAAAATTGTTTTCTAAAATACTGATTTAGAATGAATATACAGAAGTGACATAAGTAATTTACAAAACAGATAATACCACAATGCCTCCTGTCGAACTTCTTAGAGAGCACCCCCTGCTGGATTGTCCAGGAACTTCATTGCAAAATTGTTTTCTAAACTGGAGAAAGGATCCTTGGGAAAACAGCTGATTTTATTCTTCCTGGTTAAAGACTGATTGTTTAGTGATCCATCTTTCATTCAGGAAAATTTAGATCCTGCCAGATTCTCAAATAATGTGGCATGAAACAAATTGGCATTGGCATAATTTGTATCAAATAGAAAGCTAAAAGTGGGCAAATAGGTAAATTACTCTTATTATTTAATATGAAATTTAAAAATCAGTGCTAATCTGAAAATAGTCTGCACACAAGGAATTTCATAATCCTTTTATTTCCCTTTTATTTTCTGTCCATTTTATAAACCAAAAATCTGAGTTTAAATTACTTTTAGAAGATTATACAATAAGTCAGGTTCCTAGTTTTTTGAAGTCAGTAATTTGTAACTAAATTCACAGCACTTTTGCCCTCAAAAGTATCTAATTTAGTTTTGCTTTAAGTAAGTGTTTTGATAAACAAAAGCATATATGTCATCTCACAGGAAACCTGCTGGATATATACGACAAAGAAAAAATAATCGCCTTGTTTAGTGATGCAATTGCCTAGTTTATTTGCATGAAAAGTTCATTCAGTAACCCCACAAACATAAAAAAAATTATAAAAGCTACTTATGGCTGAATCTTTGTCTGCACAATTACCTATTTTAAGTGCAAAATCTGGAAGTGATGGATTTCAACCCAAAGTGAATCTAAGGATGAATCTTTGTGCACAATTACCTACTTTAAGTGCAAAATCTGGAAGTGATGGATTTAAACCCAAAGTGAATCTAAGGTATTTTAATCATGTTTAGGTAGCTGGCAATGGTTAGCCCCTCTTTATCTCATATCCAATCAAATAGCACTTGATTTGAGAGGGAAAGAAACATTTGTTGAGCAATGGATTAAACTGTCAGATTCTATGCTGCATTATTTTATTCTCTTTATCTTTTTAACACTGACGATAAACCTGTGTGAAATAAATTACTATGTCCAGCATATAAAAAGAAGGTTCAGGAGCTCTGGCTCAAGGTTTTGTCAAGACTTGGATTAGAATCACTATCTGTCCAAATTCCAAAATTATGTTATTTCTATTAGGCCAAGGACACCTCATTGTAAACAAAATTGATGTATCTGCAATATATTTACCTAAGTTTAAATGTTAGGTATTTAAACTGACTTGTTATTATTGACATATCCATTAGATCCAAAATCTTAGTTCCAAACCAAAAAGTAAGAAACAGAATAATAGCGAACATAAAAAGGTCTTATATGAAGCAGTCTCAGTTATAAGGTCATGAATTAGTTGGAATATTTAGAATGTGGTGTGTTATTGTTTTGATATGTGAACTTGACTTGAGTAATAATTGCCTAGCAAATTAGTAAAGCTCTGGATGTGTCTGTGGATGAATGACATGTAGGCTGCAAACTGAGGATGAAAGAACCACTTTGGATGTGGGAGGCACCAACCAATAGGATTGTAGCCTGGATGGAATAAAAAGAGGAAGAAGGAAGGAGAAGCTCCAGTCTTTGACATTGCCTTGGATATTCATCTCCACTTCCTTCAGGATTCCAAGAGAGATCCCTCAGCTTTCCAACATGGAATCGCCAACAGACCTTTCAGTTATCTCCAAGCCTGAGACCTTTGACTGGATCTTCCAGCTGCCCAGCACACAGACAGCCGTTTTGTATTCTTCTACCTCTGATCTCCTGAATTCATAGTCATTGTAAGCTTACCTAGCAAATCCTTTACATTAAATCCTTCATATTAAATCCATTCTTCTAGAGAACTCTAACTGATAAAAGTTTTAGCACTAGAGAATCGGAGCCATTACTATGATACTACCTGACCATGTGGTTCAGCAGCCTTGGGAAGTGGTTCCCAAGAGGAGTTTAGAAAGCTTTGGAAATTATAGCTGGGGAAGCAGCAGTAAAATGCTGTAATCTGGCCTTGAGGGCTGATTCTGGTCAGAGCCCAAAAGGACAGAATGCCGATAAAAACGCAGGTGGTAAAGACCAGGTCCAAGAGGATACAGTTAGGATCAAGAATTCAACTGACAGACTCCAGGCCATGTGTATTATACCCTGGCAGAAAATTTGTCTACTTTTTCATGTTCTTAGACTAGTGCAAGAAACTAAAAATAAAGGCAGTAGACTAATTAATACAATGGAGGAAATTTCAAGGTAGCCCAACATTAGGACTGTGACATGGGTACTATCAGGGCTTTTGGTCACATTTTTAAAAATTAAGATTAAAAAATCCATTTTAAACATTTTCAGCTTTTCCAGCAAGAAAGTACCCACAAAGACGGTGCAGAGAATAACCTGGCTCCTAAAAAGAGAAGCATTAAAAAGAAGTCAAGTTCTTTGGATCAGAGAAATAGGAAAAATGGCTAAAAGGCATACCAGGAATCAGTAATACCTCACCTTTTACAGGATCAAAATTGCAAAAAGAAAAGACTGCCTTGAGAAGGAAGAGCCAGAACACACTGCTCAAGAATGATTGCCCTGGGAATTGATTCACAATCATGACACAAGGGAGCATGGCTATTGCTTGAACTAGTGCTAGACCTTGGCATCATCGATGTGGTGCTGGTTTTACAGGCCTGCAGAATGAAAAGGTTGTAAGGTCAGGGAAGTTGTCACTCAGATTTCAGAAAAAGACCTGGGAGGTGAGATACTGCCTCTGAGAGAACTGTGAGTGAAGCTGTGAGAGTGAAGTCAAAAGTACAGTGGAGACTCCAGGGAAACTGGATAAGCCAGGAATGTAGAATGTCTGATGGACAGCAAAAGGGGTGAGCAAAGCCAGCCCAAAACCACCAGCAACGCTATATGGACCCCCCAAGCCATTTGGAGTTCCATCTCACCACACCTTGCCCTAGGACACGGCGCTAATGTTCATCCTGCTGGGATTCTGAATTGTTTTGTTCTCATTGCTTTCTATCTTCCCATTTCTCCATTTTGCAATGGAAATTTTTATCTTGTACCATTCAGGGGAAATTTTGGACTTGTGCTTTTCAGCAATGCTGGAACTGTTAAACTTTGATGAGTCTTAGAGATGGAGTAAATGACTTTTGCCTAAAGAGATGCACATGAGCCTTTTATGGGTTGGGAGCAGATTGTTAGGGTTTATATCTAGATATCCCCAGAAATCCTCATGTATTCAGAGGTGGGGCATTTGGAATGTGATTGGATAATGAGGAATTTATAGCTGACAGGTTGTTAGCAGGTGGGTTTGGTTAGAAGAGATGAGTTAAAGGGCAGTGATTTCGACCAGCTCCTTCCTTAGCTCTCTGCTTTCTGGATCTATCAAGTAAGCAGCCACTCCTTCCCCATGTCCCTGGGCTACACCATGTTGCCTTGGAGCCAGCTGACTATGGACTGAAACATGAGCCAAAATAAATCTCTCTGACTATTTTGCCCCAGCCACAAAAAGGTGACTAAAACATGGTGCTAACAAGGCCAAAATCACATAAGTAACCTCACCTGAGTGGGGCAGACACTCCAGCCATGACCACTGACTGCCTCTTGAGCAAGTCCTATGTTTTCACCTGTGTGGACCTTGCTCCACAAGCTGAGCCCAAAGATACCTTAATGCTGCCATCCACATCTCAGAGGGTTTCTCTCAGATGGGTAGATGAGTTTCAGCTGTCCGTTAGTACCAGGGGCAACAGAAGCAGGGTCAGCATTGCTCTGAGAAATAACCAACTGCTTACACTTTTCCTGTGTAATGCGGTCCAACTCCTAAAAACAAGGCTACAGGCTATATCTGGGTTTCTATTCATTTGACAGAAAGGAGATAACCTGTCCAGGATGATAATTGATAGTTTTACGAAAATACCCTTACTGGGAAAGTATCCATTTCTTAACATAATTACTGAGGTTCATCAGATTATTTGCAAATATTTTTTACACGGTTTATAGTTGTTTGAAATAATAAGGTTCTTCTTAACAATAATTACCTAAATTCCTATAATAATATATTTTTCTATTAATCTGCATATGATCTATCCAAAAAGGCCCCTTATGTAAATTAAGAGGCAGATAGGATAAAAGAAATATTGTGGCTTTAATTCACCCTTCCATTTCTTTACTCTGTCTTAAATTTCAAAAAGGGTATCATACTTTCTTATGACCTTTATATGTATCAAATTGCAGGAATTGACTAGAATTTAATGTTGCAGAATTTGACAAAATATATATCTAGTATATAGAAATATACAATAATATCTCTTCTTTCCATAAAGCATTTTCTAAAATATCTGATACTCCACAGAAATGGGGAAAAGTTATTAACTCGATAATTCTGCCATCTGAGTATTCACTAGATTCGGCTTATCCTACGTAGCAGTTCAGTCTCCAAAATTCTGGAGTAGGGGAAATCAAATCCTAAAATAAATGCTGTATTTTCAGCATCTGTTTGAGAAACTGCACATTCCAGGGCCCCAGGTGTCCCCAGCCCATGGATTGGGAATCTCAGCTCCCAGGCTTGCAGTGTTCGGGCTTGCTTTCAGGGTTACATCAGGACTGGACCAGACCTCAGGAGACCTGCTGTGCTTTGAAGAGTTACTGCCTCATCCCAGCTGCAAGCATACTTGGAAGCTTCCTGGAGAGAGGGTTGGCACGGGTTCCCTGTGCTTGAGAGTTGTCATTCCATCTGGGCTTGAGTGCCTTCTGGGCTCTGGGGTGCACTGAATCATCAAAACCAGCCCCAAGCCGCTTCCCACATTGCCTGAGAGGGCATAAGATCCAGGACTCTTCAGGGGTCTGCACGTTTCTTCTAGATATGTAATGGAATCAGTCTTTTCATCTGTAGAACAACAAGGACAGACTGATCCTTTCTAATGCTAAAGCCCTGATTCTGACCTGCCAGTGAGTTCTCAGAGGCACCTTGGATGATCCAATCTGGACTGATGTCGCTGTGTTCTTCCTCCTGTTCTTGGAGATCAATGATTAAGACCAACAAATGTGATTCAAATTTCAGTGCCAATGTTCTCATGTTATAGCTATGACAAATAAACAAGCTATCTCATTTTCCTTAAATGTCCATTTCTTTACTTTCAGTTTTGAATAAAAGGTGTCAGTATCTCACAGAACACTGGGAAGCATTAACTAACAGAAATATATATCTATATATATATAAATCACCTAGTCCTATGCCTCAAACAACAGATATCATTGCTGATATTAATATTTTTACATAATGAATGTTCCGAGACACTATTTTGTTCATCCTTAATAGTTTTTAAAAGTTTTGGTGTCAGAAACACCTTAATAATTATTCTTAACATTTTGCTTAGAAGTTATTTTAGATTTTAACAACAACCTGATTGTGAGTAAAACTTGAACTCATTATTCTAATATCCACTCTTCTGCTAATATATTATTAGAAAAATTTATATTAATGGGTCTAATCTACAGACATCAAAATTGAGGAATGAGAATTAAGTAAATATTTTGTAAATTCTTCTGACTTCAGCTTGGAGAGAGTACTTTTATGAAGGAGTTCAGTAAATCTGCTGGAATAATTGTGTCTGCAAATATATGTGTAAGATACCTCTCATCAATAATTTTCAATCATCACAAAAATAGCTTTAGAATCCATTCTGTGCATATGTAAAAGTTAATTTTTCTTTTGCTTAAATTATCCCAGATGATGGAGAACTCAGAAATGTGCACAGTGCCTGGTGGTTTGGCCAAGGTGAAGAAACACTTTGAAAAGGATGAAATTACTTCTTCCTGTGATACCTTTTCTCAGTACCAATACCAACACCAGAACAGGACTGCACAGGTAATACCACTGTGAGTGATGGGTGGAAATCACATGTGATTGAACTGCTCTCACCAGCCCAAAGCTCCTCTTTTGGTGAAGATTTATTTCATTATTCATTTTTAAAACTTATGAAACGTACAATGGCACATGACTATAATCTCAACTTTTCTGGAGGCCGAGGCAAGAGAATCACAATTTGAGGGTAGGCTGGAAAACCTAGCAAGATCCTGTTTCAAAGTAAAGATTTTTTAGAAGCCAAGCCTGGTGGTGCATGCCTGTAATCCTGGCACTGTGGGAGGCTGAGCCTAGAGGATTGCAACTTTGAGCCCAGCCTGGGCAATTTAACAATGAGTGAGACCGTGTCCTCTCAAAAAACAAAATAAAATAAAATTTAAAGGGGCTAAGTATGTAGCTCAGTACAAAGGCCCTGGGTTCCATCCCCAACACCATACACACAAAGATTTTTTTTTTTTTTTAATCTCTAGGAGGAGGATAGCTCAGTGATGGAGTGCTTGCCAAGAGTGTGTGAGGACTTGGGTTCACTCCCCAATACCTGAAAATTTTGTTAAATTTAGAAAATTGTCCTCCTTCAAGCGTATCCATGTATTGATTTATATACTTGGAACATTTTGCTATTTGAGCCATGTTGGAATATACCCCTCTCAGGTTCCCATGTTTCACACATAAATGAAAATTAAATAGCCTATGTTAGTCAACTTGTAAACAAATGTTGAAAGCAATGTTTATATTGAGCCTTTGCTTCCAGGTTAGAATTTATGGCAAACTATTTGCTTAGCATTTTGCGCAGATTAAATGTGAATATCATTATTGTGGGAGTTTTTGTTTTCTTTAAAATCATTAAAAATTTAGTACTGGAACCCAGATGTTATATAAAACTGCATAATAAAACTGCTAAATGTTATATAATTTTTTCCTTTTCATTACTTCATTATCATATATCACCAAATATTTTCATGAGATACAAGGAATTTTTTTAGGGGGGTACCGGGGATCGAACTCAGGTCCTTACGCTAAGGATTTTTGGATGTGAGAACCTAAGTAATAAAAATGCAGCAGATAGAGCTTGATGCTTGGAAAAATTGTAATTTCACTGGAAACTGATATACTTAGGACTATGTTTTCTGTGAGAAAGGAAGTAACTGGGAAATGAAATTTTATATGGTAAATAAAAATGTACTTAATCTTTTAAAATTCACAAGACATACAGAGTCGCCTGCTTTTTTAAAATGAAACTATTGGGCATTACGTGTGGCAAGGAAAAAGGTGAGGACTTCAAGCAAAAAGATTAAAAATCTAATATGTGAACTCTAATTTGTTTTCTTGTTCCATTCTTACTAATATGTGAACTCTAATTTGTTTTCTTGTTCCATTCTTTTTGAAAAGTAAAAAATGGCAAAACAGCTAGCTCAATAAATTTATGGCAATGCTTCTTCCTAATGTTCCCCAAGGAAACACAATATGAATAAAAAATTGAAATTCAACATACCTATAATCTCGTTTAAATGTTGTTATGTAGGAGTCTTTGAAATAACTATAGATGTATGTGCATACTTGAAATTGATAAACAATACAAAATAAAATTACGGTCATAATTTAAGTAGTTTCTACATAGAAGTATCAGTAATGTTTTTGTGGACACTTTACTATATAAGGGAGTGGTTTGGACTTTGGAACTTTACAGCTGAGTTCAGCCACCATTTCTGCCACTTACCTGCTGAGTGACACAGACCCAGGGCGACCTTTACGGGTATGACTTTTAAAGTTACATAGGGATCCTCATGCTCAGAAGGACTTTGACTTAGATGAACACTGTGGTATCTTTATCTTCAAATTCTCAGTAATGTTTCAACAACAGACCCCACCTTTTCATTTTGTGCTGGATCTGACAGATTATGTACCCAATACTGCATAGACCAAATCTCAAATTCCTTCAAACCTTAGTTTCACATTAGTAAGGTAGGGAACCTGATAAGTATTTTACCTATCTCATGAAGTGTATTGTGGAGATGTGTGGTATGATCAAAACATATGGTGAATGTTTACATTTTTAAACATTTATTACAGGAAAAGACATATTGCCATTAAAACCATTCAAAAAAATACCCTCCTACCATGATCATAATTATCCCATAATTTTGGCTGCTTTCTGAAGCAACTCTGGAAATTCTCTTCTGTGAGTGTCCTAACAAGTTATGAGCAAAAAGCTCAGTGAATACAGCTGCTAAGAGTCATCCAATGCACAGACAGGCTCATAAAACATCAGTCTGTCCTGGTCTACTTTATTCATTGGATCTGGTATGTGTGATTTCTGGCTCTTCCTCAAAGTCAAAATGACCAAGAAAAGTAAAAGTTGTGAATGAATTCAGGCCATCAAGACAGCTGCCATAGCACAACTAAAGACACTCATGAAAGATAACTATTAGAATTGCTTCCAAAAGTGGCAAGAGAGATGGTATAAGTGTGTTTGAGGCAAGGGGGACCATACTATGTCTTTTATTGTAATAAATACTTTAATTTAACCATTTACCATATATTTCTCTCACACCTCATATAATATGACAAAGAGCAATTTATGGAAAAGTATCATATTATCTGGGCAATTTTGTATCAGTTAAGATTTTAAAGTAGCAAATGTCCGAAAACTAAGGAAAAGTGGCTTAAACCAAAAGGAACATTATAAATCCACAGAACAGCAATTTTGTGGAAGAGAGGTTGTATTTAAACTCGAGTGTTGTTTCAAGAGCCAGCTCAGACTGACTCTGCAATTATTAAATTTAAGGGGAATTTTTAAACCACATGAAATAGTATTAATATACTGGAATCGGACATAGCAAATACTCTTTCACCAGAAATTTTGGCAATAAATGCCCTTTGCATAGACGTTAGGTATGTATAGATATTAGAGTCAGATATTAGAAACTAGATCAGACAGTAGAGGCATAGATATTGGAGTCAGATCGCTTGGGTCCAAGGTCCTGCTTCTTTAGTTATTAACTGTGTGACATCAGGTAAGTTCCTCAACTTCCCCGTGCCCCCCGTGCCTCGCTACCCTTGCTTATAAAGGCAGGATTACAGCAGCGTCCAACCCACGGATTTGTTTAGAGGAATGAATGGGTTGGTGTTCATAGCGATTAAAGCAATGCCTAGACCATTGTAAGCACTGAACAACCTTTTGTTTTAAAAGCATCACCTAGATCATACATCTTTACGCCTTAATCTCACCTCCTTTGGGTTGGCTCCATCCTCATCCAAATTTCCTCTAGATAGAGGTGAGATCAGAGAAAGACTTGCACCCTTTTCCCAGCACAGAGCCATCCAGCATCTCATAGGCTCCGCATACAATTCGGGTGTCCGCCCTTGAACAAACTGCTGCGGCTGGAGGTGCTGACCTGCTTAGCCCCCTGCACCTTGCTTACCTAAAGTGTAAAGTGTAAACCCCCAATATACGGCTATCAGCAAGAAGTACCCACTGAGAGGAAATAAAAGAAAAGATATACAACTCTCTACTAGTAAGTCCTTGAAAATATAGCTTATTATAAAATGTAGACCCCACTTTGAGAATGTCACATACCAATGCGCATGAAGAGAATGAAAATGCGTGACTCTGGAATTGTGGGACTTCTCTAAACTTCTCTTTTTTATATTCAGACGTAAAAGTAATACCTGATATTTCCCCGAGAAACAAATAAGCCTAAACTATACTATAATACAATATGAAAGAATCATATAAATCAATTAGTAATTGCTATTTAGTGAAAGCCCGTTGCATACAGAGCTTTGTGGGGAAATGTAGGGAAAAAGTCATTTGCTACTCTCTAAAGAAAACTTTATACTCATTAGAAATCTGAGATAAATGCCAAATTTCACTTTAGAAAAGAAAGTGTAAAAGTAATATCTCAGATATTCACTTAAACTTCTTAAGCTGTCTAAATGCATTCTAAAAACTATGTTATCAACAGAAGATGAGGACGTTATGTTTGCCAGTAGACAGGTGAATTTTTCCTTAATAAGATGCTGTGGACCGCAGCAGTACTTTCAGCTTGTTGTCTTATTGAAAGTACTTGAGATCTATCACTGCTAAGTCTTCCTCTGGCCAAATATATTAATTTCGAAGTCAAGTTTGAGTTAAGAGAAAGAATATTTGTTTTAGATGTCTAACAGCATTTAATGTCACATTTTATAACAATTTCATTAGGTATAATAATTATGTCCAGTGTGCTTTGTTTCTTTGCAATATATTGTAACTGGACATTTGAAGGTAATAAGCTATTTGGTAAAAGTTTGTCTGGGAGATCAGTAATTGCCCTAAACAACGTTTGAAAATCAAGCTATCTCTGAGATTGAAAGCTCCTTCTGTTTGCTGATGCAACAGGATGTTTTATGTCTAGTGAAAAAGCTGTTCTGAAATAGAAAAGAAAGGGGGCTATAAAATACATGAACATTCATTTAGACATTTAGGAACATTAACTCTAGACATTTTAAATAGGAGTATATGCCATTTATGTATTCCAACTTGCCGAGCTTTACAGTTCTGTTTAACAATTAGCAGTAACACTGTGGGCCTGTGTAGCCTCCTTATAAAAATGAGGAAGAGGAACCACTCTAGGTCCCTGAGGAAGAAGGATAGATGGTGGATGAATTCTGGTGCTTTAAAGAATAAGGTGGGAAATCTTGATCAGCTTTTTCCTGCTGGTTAGTCCTAATAGTTTGTAACATCATTCCTTTGACTTTCTTTCTCAAAATAACCATTATTGCTTCCAATATATGTGAATGGTACCCAACTCTCTTTATGGGACTGTAAATCTCTTGGCATGACTTCTGTTGATATTTAAGATAGAAATATCATCTCAGTGTTGTTTTCATTTTGTCTTAGCATTGAGGTCCCAGCATTCTATATCAGTCATGATCAGTAGGACCTTAATACTAGAATACAAAGGAACACTTTTGAGGGAAATATTTGTCCACTCGCTGCAAACGACTCCCTTTTGGAAAAAAAT